CCCCCCCGTGGGCGGCGTCCCTAGACCACGAGCGATCAAGCAGGTTCGAGTTCTATGTTCCTGAACCGGTGTTCGTTGTTTCTACCGCCACCATCGCTCCCTACGACTAAACGTTAAACAAGATCGTCTTCCCAATTGCACTTGTTTCTCCATATCACCCCATGAAGTTCATCACCACCAAGAAGAGCACCATGTTGCACACCACATACTCCGCGAAGCATCGCTCCAGCGACCGCCCCCGAACGACCCCCCCGTTATCGCTCGCTTCCATCACCTGCATTCTCAACGAAACTTCGGGGAAAACGTACGTGCGGAGGGCATCCACAAAAAGTGATGGTTCCGTAGAGACAGTGTGTTCTTCATGGGGGAGGGTTCGCATGTTGCCAAAGGCAGGCCAGCGGCCCAGCCCAAAAGCCGAAAGGGAACGGAGACCTCGCAACTGGGAAGACAACTCCGCAGCGACATCGGAACGAGGCAAGGGGAATCGATCTCCTTCGCTGCTGAATGCAGCAAGACTACAGTAGAGTATTTTTTCTTCTCGCGGTGATGAATGTAGCCTACTTGCCTCCAAGCACACGGCCGTGTACATACCCAACATGCGTTGTAGTGTCGGCAGCTACGATCCGGCCTTTTGCGGCAGCAAAGGTACGAACACGAGACCAACCTGTCAATACGAAGGCTCCAACCGTTGACGAGAACCCGGCAAGAAACGAGTTGAACGGGAAGGATCCCACGAGCACGCAATATACGAACTGCGGCAACACGTGGAGGGTCGGAGAGGGGAGGGGAGAGGAGGGGAGGCTTGAGGAAGAGTTAAAGATGACATAACAGAGGTGTCCAAACCGGGACAGAGTAGCAGCGGACTTCGTGTGCGGCTTGATGAAGACATGTGGCAACACGTGCTCACACATAATAGCGATCGCCATCCGAAGACGGCAACCTAGCGGCGCTCACGGGAACACGAGGACGCATGGCCTAATGGTGGGTGTCGTGCGGAAAGGCCGTGACCCTGAGCAGTTTTAGCACGTCAGAACTTGCTAGTGCTCTATGTAGGATTTTGTATTGTGGAAGATCGCTTCTAGTTTAGCACGCGGTCGTACGGTATTACCGACATGCGCAACACGCGAGCCTCCACGACTCAGCAGCCAATCCATCGCCTGACAAACTTGGGCGTTTAGGGGCACAGCAGCGTAGCCTACAGAACACTCATCGACGTAGTCTGTAGCTGTTGGGAACCTGATCCCGCGTCGTGGCGGTACATAGGATTTGTTTGTTCGCACCAACAGGTGGGACGTGCTCGGGTTCTCACACGGCTGATGGAACCCATCAAATCGAACTGCGGTAGTTTGCTACAAGGATGGAGTTGCCCACTGGCAAATCAACTGCCCAGAGATACAGGAAACTCGCCCGTGTCCCTCCCCGCGCGCGTGCCCTCCCGACCCGCCGCACTTTTCTGAGTATAAGTATTCTGTCTCATGAACCTCGGGATAATGTCCGCCTGCCGCCCC